GAAAACTGGGGAAAACGTACACGCTGTGACTGCAGGAGCACCAAGGATTTTATTTCCTCCCTGTGTATTCAAGAATAAAGTTGAAAAAATTCAGTTGGTACTTGCTTCCTTTTTTATTTTTTTTGTTTTACCCTCAAGTTTATTACCCACACTACAATGAGAGGATGTTAAGAGTCTTTAAAACTCTCACGAGGAAACTCGTAGGTTTAAAATCAAAATGAGAGCTCACCCATGAGGATTTCTGTTCTGGCTGCAGGGAGTTCGCCAGGCTGGACTCTGTCTGCTCTCCGCCGTGGTTACCTAAAACAGGACCACTGGAGGGACTTCCTCGTGGTCCAGATCTAGGAACAAACAATTTGCTCTATAATTTGTGCCATCGCCTTCATTAGCCAGTCAGTGACACTGCACCGGGAGGCCATCCATCATAGAAACGTTAATCATGATAATGAGCGTTCTCCCCGGCACGTGAGGTGTGTCTGTGCACGCCAGGAATTCCTCTTCACTCCTTGCAGGCTCGTCCCCCGCAGCTCCCTCCTGCCCAGCTCTTGCAGGTGTGCTGCCAGCACGCTGGTTTTTCTCTCACTCTGCCAGAAAAGCCTTCCACAACGTGCATTAAAATATGTATCGTTGAGTCTTTGCATTGCCTAAGCATATCCCCAGCCGCCACCAAGGAAAGCCAGAAGGAAAAGAAAAGAAATTCAAACTTGTTTTCTTAACGCAGAAAACCACAGCCATTTCTTTTTCTCATGTCTAATTAATAAAACACCTGGATATGAACTTTAATTTCAGAAATCTTTTATTTTATTAGCTATTTTCTTCCCAGCCTCTTCTCACCGAAACCATCTCCCAAGCACGGGCTGACTCAGAGCCCACAGACCAAGGGCCAGCTCATTCCCCACACTGACCTTTCCAGGTCACCCTTGGTCCATCCTTTCTTCCAAGCTGTTTTTTGCCAACCCTCCCATCCCAGTTAGTCCATCCCAGCTGCAGGACCATTTCTCCAGCCTGCCCACGTCCCACCATCCAACATTTTCAGTTGCTCACCCCAGTTCGGTGCCACCTGCAGCTTTGCAACATCCAACGTGTTATCCAAGACACTAATGAAGATGTTAAATGCCACCAGCACCAGTTTTTCACCCTCTACATAGTTTATCCATCCAGTCCCTACCTCCCCCAGCTTAACTATAAGGGGGTTGGGGGAGACAGTGCCAAAACACATTGTGAAACCTGCATCCGTCACACTCCGCCATCCTCTTCGTCACCGAAACCCATCAGCACGATTCACTTTTGGTGAGCTGGCTCTTCCCAGTCACCTGCTTCTGCTTCAAGCACCTGGAAATGCTCCTCACGGAGAGCAGAAGGGGAAGGCCTGGATGTTGGCACGGTGCACATCAGGGCTCCTGACTCACAGGTCACTCGTCAGCCTCCAGTCAGTGCCTTGGTCCTCTGAAGATGGTGAATAAGGACGTTATTACCTGCCTCACACGGCCAATATATCGCTTAAATGATGTGAGTCCTTGATGTGCACCACTCCGTAACTACATTATAATTAAGAGATGCTTATCGGGAGTCATGAGTCAAAGCAGAACATGCCAAGCACTGGGAACAGCATCCAAACGGAGGAGGTGTTTTTCCAATAAATAATTTAATCCTCGTTCCTGCAGCGTGTTTCATTTATGAGGGGATGACTTGGAGCCCTATAAAAGGTCTCTGTCCCTTTGCCTCTCACAATCTGCTCCCCCAACCAGCGTCTGCCTTCCCTTCTGAACTGGGTAAGACACATCCCGGAGCAGCCGGGCTCATTTTGGGATGAGTGGCTGGATTCAGGAGGTCGCTGGCCTGGCATGCTCATGCTGTCCTTCAGACCATGGTCTACACCAAGGGCTGGAGGACGATGGGCTAAGCCAAGAAAGAAGCTATTGCGGGGCTTGGGTATGGGATTTACAGAAATGCCACCACACGCAGCATTGCCTTGCAGTTGCTTCTGCTCTTGGAGGAAAAAAGTAAAATCAAGGGCAAGCTCAGTAAGAGGATTTGGACATAATGTGACTGGCATCGGGCAACTGAAAGAACCTCCTTTAGATCCAGGCTTTCAGGATAAGCAAGGCTGACCTGTGCTTGGCTCAGTAAAGCAGCTTCACAGGAAACTAAACAAAAAGAGAGGAGATGGAAACTCAAGTCTGTCTGGCCATGTGTTTTTCAGGTTTTTGCCCACAGCTCAAACATGATATACTCTTCTGGAAGAGAATCGTACTTCAACTTGAACTCAACCTGGTATGATCCCTCGGGGTCCTGGCTGGACACCCGGCGCACACCTTTCCGCTACGCCTACAACACCTGCTGCTCCTCGGGGTGCGATGGCGAAGGCGGTGAAGGCA